TAAATAAATGTTGAAATATTTAAACGTAGCATTGAAACATTTAAGATAAAAATATTTCTGTACTGTAAATACTTAATTTAAGCTCTGTGATTTTAAGTATACGTCCCATGTCATACAGCATGCGAGAAAACATACCATACAAGGTCATGTTTATTATTGAATGAGATTATTGTAGATTTAATATTAGTATTATTATGATAAAAATTGGATTTATAGCGCAGTACCACAGCAAAGGGCTAGGATCATCACACTTCACATAAAAATTAGAAAAAGAAAAAAAAAAAGAAAGAAACATGACATTTTAAAAAAGTTTTATAAAATCATTCCTATAAAAATAGCTTTGTAAAATTATTGATCACGCCCACCCAAGTACTATAGACCCCTGTCTAGCCATGGACGGCACCCAGCGGCATCGAGCAGGAATTGTAGAGTTTAAAGTGATGTATCTTGAGTGCAGATTTGAAGGCTTGGATGGTCGGTATATTGCGGATGTGTAGTGGGAGAGAATTCCATTGTGAGGGGCACAGAAAGAGAGATCGTTCACCGTGTGTTTCAGTGCGTGTCATGGCAACAGAAATAATATAAAATAGTGATAATATTGATATTGATAATAATATGAAGCATTTCTAGCTTACCCGGGTCATCCATCTGAAAAGGAAATGATGTCTGGATATTATCCATACGTTAAAGCGACATGAGAATTAATTTGTTCTATAAATATAAAAGCATGGTTTAATGACTTATATTCTACACTACATAGCGTTCGTATATCTTAAGTTGAAGTACAAATGATTACTTTTTTCATAATCATTTTTCAGATTAATTAATAAAATTTGATATAGAAACAATAGTAATTAAATATTTTGAAAAACAAAACGCTAGAGAGTTGTTTCAAAATATTTTATTTAATAATTTAATTTATAATTATTAATAACATTTCCTGTAATGTATAACATTTTGTATATGAAATTTTAGGTATGATATTTAATATAGGACATTATATGTATGCTATTTAGTATATGACATGTTATGTATGATACTTTATTTTAAGAAAGATTAAAACATTAAAAAATAAAAATATCAAACTGAAAACTAGGTAAAATAATGTGGACTAAAATTAGAATTAGTTAGACTGGATACCTACAGTCTACAGTAAAGAAATTCAAATTCCTTGATCCACTTGAGCAAACTATATTACATGTGTATCATTCTGTTACCCAAACAAATGGGCTCCTTACAAAATTACTGTAGTTTTTTTAAAATAAATTTATACATAAATCATAATATATGTCATTGCATTTGTTTGATATATTTATCGCTTAGAAGTTAAACCTCACAGAGGAGTCACAGATCACTCATCATGTGCAATGGTCTGTACTGAAGCGCTGATATTTAACTACAATTTATTTTTGAAAATCTAATTGATACATTTATTACATTTTAATAACTTCATTTTTCTTATTATACGGCTACTTACGTTGTGTTGACAGAAAGAGTTGAGCGATAATTAATCAGAAAGATTAATAAGCTTCCAAATCAATTTAAGGGAATACAGACTTGTACAGAACATAACGGGAATACCCGATTTACAATTTCGGAAATTTCAAATTTCTCTACTTTAATCCTACACATAACAACAAGATCCTTCAGAAAATTTTCTCCGACATATGGGGGATTTCCGGATTTTCCAGTGTGCAATGCCACCGACTAGAGGCGTATCTAAGAAGGGCACAGAGGGAAGAGGTCCCCCGTGCGCAAGGCTAATGGGTGTGCCGAATTGAGCTTTGTTGGTAGTTAATGGATGAAAACAATTATTTCAGAGTTGAAATGGGGGAGGGGGCATTAAATACACATTGTCCCCTGGAGCCACACACTGCACTGGCAAAACCACAAATGATACACCATTTTAAAGGGCTCGCTATAAGCTTTGCAAAAACACCAATTTCATCTTTCTATCTTTTATGGAAAAAAAGTTATGATTTTTTTGGTGAATTTTTTAACCCCTTTATTTATCTTTGTATTTAACGAAAAAACTTGTGACCAACTTTCCGCAATTCTGCTTTATTTTGTCCACAACTTTTTTATTTTCAAAGATAATGCTACCAAACTTTCAGGAGACATTCTCAATGCAATATACAACACAATAAACAACAAAACTTTTATATAACATCAAGACTTTTATTTTTTTGTATATTTAATCGAGGGTATGTTCAGAAAAAAGTGAACAGAAAAATTGGGAAAATCATTATTTATACAGGAAAAATTGAAAAAAATAACATGTTTATTGAATTTTAACTAATTTTATTATGCTTGTGTTAAATTTTAAATCATTATATTTATAAAAAGGTAAGTAGTCTTTTTTTATATATAAAATTGAACGCATGTAATTATATATAACAAATACTAATATCACCCATAAAACTAATTACAAGCATACCCTTATCGGAGTATGTCATTAAATATTAAAAGGTAATGGGGATCTTCTGCCTGCCATTTTCCGGGTAGAATGCCCTACAGTGACTTCTTTGTCTTGTTGATGAAACCCACACATTTTTCCTTCATAAACTTTGTCGCCGCCATCTGCATCCAAACATTCCGCCTTATTGGATATGGGCCATGGAAGGAATTCCAAAGTTTGCAACAGAAATGTAAAATTTTCTCTTCCACCCAAAAGAAGCCTAACATTAAATACTAATCATAATTCTGAATCTATACAATTTTTAGTTTCTTTTTAATATTATTCAAGTGATGTTTTTATTAAATTTATTTCCTTTTTTTGTTTTGTTTATTTAATTAGAAATATATTATTGTTGATATAAATGTTAACATTTTCTTATGCCTCTGTCCTAGTTTGATATAATTACTATGATGATGTAGAGTCTTATTTATTTATTTATTTTAATAAACTTGTTATAGACTAATTCATAGGTTATCTAATTTTAATTTTAAACAAGTCACAGTGACTCAGTGACGCAATTTTCACAAAAAATAAATATGTACGAAAAAAAAAATAATTATGCATTACCATATTTTATTGGAATTACAATTGATAATAGTATATTTTTAATAGTGGTAGCAACTGCTTTTATTTTGTTATTATCATTAATTATAATTTATAAATACCACTAATAACTAGCATTATATATTATAGTAGTAGTATTACTACTACTACATATAATAATTATATAAATCAAGGGACAAAACAAGTCCGAAATTCACCGGACTACACGAACTACAATTATTTAAAATTATTTAATTTATTAAGTTGTACTACTTTCTAATAATATTGTAAAACAGTTTTCCCTTTATTAACTAATTAGTCTACCACGGATTATCAAAGATGAACTATAATGAATAAATGAAAATATCTTTAAGTTAAATTGGTAATAACAACCATTTCCGACAACCCACTTTTTTTTGTGAGGGGGGATGACTCGGGTGACTACTAACAATTTTATTTTCTTACACCTTCCAGTTGGATTGGCATAACTTTTGTGCGTTTGAGCTAATTTTAATGAAGTAAAGTTATTAAAATGTGTGAATGAATGAAGCAGTATTGGGCTAAACCACTATGTGTTTGAGTTTTACATTAAAAAGTAATAAGCAATTAACGTGCATACCGATGAAAAATTAAATGCGTTACCGGTCACAAGATTCTAAATGCTGCAAATATGGTATTCACATGTTTGGAAAAATATGTGCTCTACGTCACCGATAATTTAAATACTATTATTAGGAAACAGTGACGTACAACGCAAAAAAACGACACCCTCGCTATGCCGTATAGCTATATTGCAGCTCAAGTTTTTCCGTGATTTTTCGACTGCGCAGAAGGGATGCGCGTGCGTCTTTTAAAATACCTACGTAGAAAGGTGTGTGGTGGGTTTGGTCAACCCAGGTGTCACTTGTTCTTTATATCGAGAGGTGGCATTTTCGGACAGCTGCAGAGTATCCTATGTGAAAGTGCAGCCAAAATCTTGGCCCACCCACGGCTGTCACTAACACTAGCTACCGGACGCGCCATGTGAAGTAGGGCAGAAATCGAGGGCACCGATTAATCTTGAACGGAACATGCGTCTTGGGAGTCTGAATATGTTAGTATTTCAAAACCAAGAGGTGCATTTTGGAACATACCTGAATTCTGGGGGTTGATTTTTTCTTTTTTTTTGGTTGTTTTTTGTAGAATTTTTGATCAAGGGAAAATATTAAAATTTTAAGTCTTCAGTTAGGTATTATGGCGCCCAGTGCAATACATAAACTGAATTCACTCCGATTCTGGTTCTCCCCAGGGTAATCTTTTGTTACACGCTTCTATTCAGTCCCGTACTATCACATTGATCAGCATAAAGGAAAGGGGGACTTCCGGTATGAAGTACCATTATTAGCCATAATGGGCCATTTATTTAGTATGTATGTACCGGGGTGGGGTGGTTTCGGAGATATTGCGTACAGATACGAAAGGCGGGAGAGGTGTTTCCCGGGAGAAAATAAATTTATTCAAAAATTCTACTTTTTTATTATTAGGAAATTGTGACTGTTCTGCAGACGACGTGTTATGTCATATTTCCCCCGTGCTGTGAACTCTAGCAGAGGATGCGTTAGTATTGGGCGTGGCTTATTCCCTTTGATCTTGTTTACCACAAACCAATCTATCGCCTGTTTTCTTGACTCGAATACGATAGAAAATGGTAGTAAATTGTAGAATGTTCGATTCACTAATACAATGCGTAATATGCCTCGAATTTTCTGTAGAACAGACGATACAAAGCAGAGAGAGAGCATTATTTTTGGGAGCATAAGATTTTTTTTTTTACGGGAGGACAGGCTAGCATTTATTTTTAGAGTTTGTTATTCTTGATAGAGCTGTGTTAACTTATAAGGTGTCAATTCCTTTCATCGTGCTATCTTTGTTTGGCACATTGTAATTTTCATTCACTTTTGTACCTGTACAAGCAACACAATACTTTGTAAGTATTTAATTATATTTATTTTATTTTTAGGTTTCTTAGTAACTAAATAAAACTTATTAATTGCAGTTAGCACTGCTTTGAGTATCGTATTCTCTGTTATTGTTTTTATTATTCGTTATCGCCTGGTTGTGAACTGTTTTGGAACGAGCCATACATGTAAATAGGAGACTAATTTCTCCCTACGGATAGCAGTGCGTAACAGTAACATTCAAATATATCATATTTGTAGCTCGAATGCTGTAAAAATATCATGCAATGTTTTGTAGGAATTACTGTCATAAGGTTGCCTTGCGTTTTCACCAATGAACCATCTAAGATTTCGCTTAGTAGTAGGAGTGTTACAGTAATATTTCGTCCACCGCATGTTCAATGAGCTTGTGACGTATCTCTCCCCCCCCCCTAACCCCCCTCGGCTATGACAGTGGTTCCTAGAAAGATTTTTTTACCGGCGCCTTTGCCAAATTTAAGTTTTCACCTGGGCGCCTTTTTTGTCAAATTCTAATCAATATGATTCGAAATAGCTAATAAAGAAACAAAAATAAAATAAAGTGTGGGTAAACATAAATAGAACCCGTATGTAGGTCACTAAGCGTCATCTAGTAACTGCAAACATAGTTACTCAAATGTTTGCACCAAGACATTGGATTAAAAGTGGAAATAAAATTAGGATCAATGTAAAAGTTCTCGTCACATGACCAAGAACAGGGTATGCTGAGTAAATACGTCACTGGAGAATTGCGCCACCATAGAAAAGGTGCCCCCCCCCCCCGGGTGAAAAAGTAAGAAAGATTACTTTTGCCGCCCCTTGTCTTTCTGACGTATAAATGGGATTTTTATTTGAATTGACTCTGAAGATCTTATTTCTATGGTGATACATATTGTTATAAAAGTGGAAAGAAAATTAGGGTCAATGTAAAAGTTCTCGTCACATGAACAAGAACAGGGTATGCTGAGTAAATACGTCACTGGAGAATTGCGCCACCATAGAAAAGGTGCCCCCCCCCCCGGGTGAAAAAGTAAGAAAGATTACTTTTGCCGCCCCTTGTCTTTCTGACGTATATATGGGATTTATATTTGAATTGACTCTGAAGATCTTATTTCTATGGTGACACATATTGTTCTATAAATTATGGGATTTCGCTGGGCTTTTTTTTTCTTCTTTTTTTTTTTTGGAGGGGGGGGGCAGGGGATGGTCGAAATATATTAATCATACCTCCTTTGTTTACAAAAAGAAAAATGTAAGCATTGCTATTTACGTTTCTAACATCATTTAGTTTTGAGAAATATTCATCTGCAATATTATATCAGCTTAACCTACCCATCTCAACGCTGATGCACTCGAAAAAGAAAAAGAACAACTTGCATTCACATATGAAATGTACACAGAAATTTATATAACTTTTTAAATAACTTCAACATGAAAGGAAATGATTGATTGGTACTTCCCATAAAACAAAATAAATATCCACAGCTTCCATACTTTAGCATCGGAAAACCTTAAAACAAATAATTCTTAAGGGTCATGAGGGGAGAGACTGCAATCAGGTTAGTACCATATGAAATTAGTAAAACAAAGTAAGGTTAAAACTGAATTTTTAAATGTTTATTATGTTTCTTTCTATTGTTTGTTCGCTGATGAAGGCATCCTGCCGACACGTTTGTTGTTTTGTTGCGTTCCCTTTTCAGGTTTAATCTTTCTTTGTTTTACTCATTTCAAATAGTTTTTAAGATTGAAAGAATATCTTAACTTATTTTTCACGTCTGTAACAACCATGACTTTTTTATAGACATATTTATAATCACTTTAAAATGTACAACAACCTTTCCGTGAACTTTATCTTCGCAAAGTTTTTAAAAAAAAATATTTATTTTTTTATTTGACATAATTTTTTTAGAAAATGCATTTGATATTATGATTAATTTAGTAAAATAATGAATTATTTTAAAAATGTATCTATGGACGTTACATACTATCAAGTAGCTTAATTTTTTCTTGATAATTTAAAAATTAACATTAAAAATAAAGCATTATATCCTAACAACTAGTGCAATGGACAACAAAGTCGCTAACTGCTAATTGAAGATACATCTCAACATCGAATGTAACTTGTAACAAATTTGGCCAGTTGATACGTTGACAAGGTGCATTTTATCTCCACACCGTCCATCGAATTATCACATCGAAATTAATTATTGAACAATTGCAGTTCTTTGAAAAACAGACACAGAAATATTTCAGATCCAGACCAAAGAAATCATTTAGAAGCAACAAAAGACAGCGGCATCCAACAAAGAAAAAAACACAAAACTCAACACTATTCAAAGTCTAAATTTAACAATGTTAAGAGAGCTTAAGTTAGCAGTGTTTTGAGAGCTTAAGTTAACAGTGGTATGAGAGCTTAAGTTAACAGTGGTATGAGAGCTTAAGTTGAAAGTACTAAGAGAGCTCACGTAAACAATGCTAAGAGAGCTTAAGTTAATAATGTTAACAGAGATTAAGTTAACAATGCTAAGAGAAATTAAGTTAAAAATGTTAAGAGAGCTTAAGTTAGCAGTGTTTTGACCACATAAGAGAATTCATTCATGTATTATCTTTTATACTCAACAGTAAAACATTAAAAATTAATTATTTAAAATGTATTGTATTTTTAAAGGATGCCTAAAATTTATGGGAAATTTCTATAAATTAATTATCCTTTATTAATATTTCAATGAATAATTAGCGATGCCATATCAAAATTTAACTGTTAACTTTTATCATGTTAACAATAATATATATCAAAATATTCACGGATATCAAGTTCACAATAATTTCTATCAAAATTTTCACTCTGATCACTTCTATATTAATCTCTGCTTTATCTGGACGTATTTGGCTAAGAGAACTCACTGAACGGCTTTTTGAAATCATTTTATTCTAAATGTCTTGTCTTCAAATTGTTTTATGTATGTGCTTAAAATGTATGACGCAATCAAAAACACGTTTCCATTTATTTGGATCAATAAAAGAATATTATCTTATCTTATAATGTCTTTGAAATTCTGCTTACTTTCGAACATAAGTAATACAGATATCTGATGCGAAATATTGGATGTAGTCTGTGCACCGTTCTTTGCCGCCTGCTTGTATAACGTGACCATCACGTGCAGTAATTTCCATTCTGTATTGGTCAGGGTTGGGAATTCCACGGTCGCTGAATAAATTGCTTGTTATCTAATTTGTTTTAAGAAAAAAAAAGAAAAATGTAAGAACAAAATTATGGTTTATGGAAAGAATTATTTTAAAAATAATAATCTGACAAAATAAGAAGAATCTGTCATATTTTTTTTTATTGTTAATGTTATAGTGTAACATTTTGTTTATTGTCATTACTATATTGTAATATTTTGTTATTGTCATTTTAAAATGTAACATTTTGTTTATGGCAATTGCTATATTGTAACATTTTGCTAATGAATATTGTTATAATGTAATTTTTTGTTTATTGTCATTATTTTTATTGTAATGTGTTTGTTGTCACTTTCACAATGTAAACCTTTGTTTATTGTCAATCTTCTAACGCAACATTTTGTTCATTGTCATTATTGTGTCCTACTTTAGAAGGAGTGTCCTACATTGGAAGGTAGCGTCCTACAACAAAATACTACATTATAAGGCTGACAGTCAAGACAGTCACTCTAAAATAATGACGATAATAAGGCTGACAGTAAAGACAGTCACTCTAAAATAATGACGATAATAAGGCTGACAGTAAAGACAGCCACTCTAAAATAATGACGATAATAAGGCTGACAGTAAAGACAGCCACTCTAAAATAATGACGATAATAAGGCTGACAGTAAAGACAGCCACTCTAAAATAATGACGATAAAGAAACGGTCACATTATAACGATAACCAGAAAAAAATGTCAGGTTATAACTCCTTCTAAAGTAGGACACATCTTCTAAATTAAGACACTCCTTCTAAAGTAGGACACACCTTCTCAATTAGGACAAACCTTCTAATACGGGACACTCCTTCTTATGTAGGACACTACTTCTAAAGTAGGACACTCCTTCTAATATAGGACACTCCTTCTAATATACAACACTCCTTCTAAAGTAGGACACTCCTTTTAATATAGGACACACCTTCTAATATAGGACACTCCTTCTAAAGTAGGACACTCCTTTTAATATAGGACACTCCTTCTAATGTAGGTCACCCCTTTATTATTACAATGTTCATTTTTGTAAAGTTGCCAAGACAAAATGGCAGCGATATTTTTAACGTTGTGTTAAGGATAAACATTTCTTGACAAAATGCACTGGCCTCCAATAGTTATCTTTTCTAGAATACATTTATGATTCCTACTTGAATTGTGTTCATCTTAGGATTACTACTTGTATTTGTCACACGTTTGAAGCGTCAGAGAGAAGTCGATTGCCTACATTTGTACGACTATTACTTTCTTTAAATCGTCCTTAAAAGTTACAATGTAGCATTGATCGTGTCTCCATGGTCTCGTTTGATACCTCGGTAAACAACAAAGACGGAAACCAACACAGATTTGTACGAATAGACGTATCTTATTTGACAGACTTACTTCATCAATGGAAAGATCGTTGCCATGCGTGTCTGTACATCCGACAGGTATCAATATTGCTTCGCCTCTATTGGGGAACTTGACATACACATGATGTTCCTTGTCTAGACCAGCCTCTGACAACGTCAAATGGTAATGCTTGATTATTTCATACCATGGATCAGTATTGGGGTGTCTTGTTATGGAGATGCTTATCATTGACATACAAATTTCACCAACACATTCACTATTGGGATGTTCTGTTAAAGCGATCTTTATCATTAACATGAAATATTTAACCATTACATTAATTATTATGTTATATGTATATATATATATATCCTTCATATTGTTGTTTTCGTGACATGTCAACTTGACCAAACTCATGACTTGTCTGTTGTCACGGTAACTCGTTATTACTATGTGATTTCTTGGCGGGTCTTGGCCAGGGCCATGTTAGACCCTTGATTTTTTAAAAAGTTTTGAGACAAAGACTTGTCGTGTGATGCAATGTTGTCATCTCATGTCATTTATTTTCATGTGATGTCACTTGTTTTCATTTGCTATCACTTTTTGTCATGTGATGTTACTGGTTGTCATTAGATGTCATTTAGTATAATTATTTACACACTACCAAATTGGTTAAACTGTTTGGTTCAATTTTATCTTAAATAATGCCGAGAATCTATCAATGAATGACATTTATAAATAGCCAAAGCTGCGTCCAGGTTCTAAATAGTCACGTGACACGACTGGTAGCCTCATTACGGGTTTAGGATGTAATTACCGTAAGCCATAGCAAATTTAATCGCTAGTACATTAAACAAGTTACAAAATTCCTCTGTTATTGCCAAAATAGATTGGGAAAGTCCGATGGAGTATTCCGTACGTTCAATTTGTTGTTTTTTGTAAAACTGAGTAGCCTGCCCGTGGTTGTCGCCTACTTTTACCACTTTGGGTTTTTCCAAATATGTTTTTCGTTCGTGGTCGTACCCCATACTTGTAGCATAGACGAATCAATATTGGTATGGCTTTGTTTGAATGATTACCGCATAATTGATAAAAAGTCAAGTTTTTAGGATCACAATGAAACGCCTTTAGCCCGTAGCACTACACTATGAACTGATATCTTAAGTTAGTGTGAGTTGTTTAGAGTATGTAAGGTCGCGTTATGAGGAAAGGCTATAAACATTTAGTATGTTAGGTCAAGTTGTAATGAAAGTTCATGGTCATGTTGTATGTTAGGTCAAGTTATTATCAAATGTCGTCTTCATTTAGTATGTTTGTTGAAATTATAAGAAATACAGTTTTTATATAGTATGTTAGGTCAAGTTATTATGAAAGGTCTTCTGCTTTTAAGGAAGGAAGAAACATTGTAGTTTACGAAAGACTTTACATCATTTGAAGGCATCCTTACGTCCCTAAGAAAAACTAGTGTACTCGCAAGAACGGTCTCAAACGTAACACTTCTAAACATGGTTGAGTTGGTCTTGATAGAATATGTCTCCAGACGAGACACTTCTAAACACGGTTGAGTTGGTCTTAACAGAATATGTCTCCAGAAGAGACACTTCTAAACACGGTTGAGTTGGTCTTGACAGTCTTTGTCTCCAGACGAGACACGTCAAACACGGTTGAGTTGGTCTTGACAGAATATGTCTCCAGGCGAGACACTTCTAAACAGGGTTGAGTTGGTCTTGACAGAATATGTCTCAAGACGAGAAACGTCTAAACAGGGCTGCAGAAAAAGTGTAACATTAACATCCCACAATACTACAACAGTGCGTGATAAGAAAGTTACATCAGTGTGTGACAAGATAGTTACATCGGTGCGTGTCAAGAATGTTACATCAGTTGTTGACAAGAATGTTACATCAGTTGTTGACAAGAATGTTACATCAGTTGTTGACAAGAATGTTACATCAGTTGTTGACAAGAATGTTACATCAGTTGTTGACAAGAATGTTACATCAGTGTTTAACAAGAATGTTACATCAGTGTTTAACAAGAATGTTACATCAGTGCGTGACAAGAAAATTAAATCAGTGTGTGACAAGAATGTTACATCAGTGTGTGACAAGAATGTTACATCAGTGTGTGACAAGAATGTTACATCAGTAGGTGACAAGAATGTTACATCAGTGTGTGACAAGAATGTTACATCAGTATGTGACAAGAATGTTACATCAGTATGTGACAAGAAAGCTACATCAGTGTGTGACAAGAAAATTAAATCAGTGTGTGACAAGAAAGTTACATCAGTGTGTGACAAGAATGTTACATCAGTGTGTGACAAGAATGTTACATCAGTGTGTGACAAGAATGTTACATCAGTGCGTGAAAGGTTTTTACATCAGCGTGTGAGAATAATGTTACATTAGTGTGTGAAAAGAATGTTACATCGGTGCGTGACAAGAAAGTTACATCAGTGTGTGACAAGAATGTTACATCAGTGTTTGACAACAAAGTTACATCAGTGTGTGACAAGAATGTTACATCAGTGTGTGACAAGAAAGTTTTCAGTGTGTGACAAGAATGTTACATCAGTGTGTGACAAGAATGTTACATCATTATGTGACAAGAATGTTACATCAGTGTGTGACAAGAATGTTACATCAGTGCGTGACAAGAATCTTATTTTGCTCGATTGGCAAATAATCTTAATCTTTCTTATGATTTGCTAGATGTCTTTCAGCTCTCTGATCCATACAAGACTATGCTTCAAACAATAAGATGTTGGGTGGTTGTTGTTGTTTTTGGTGGGGTGCACATCCAAGGGCGGATGAATCTGTACTGGATTACTGGATAAGGCTTCCAGCTGTCACTGATTCTTGAATCACCAGAATTAACTTAAAAATTATACGTTCAATTGTAGACACCACTGATAGTGACTGTAATGTTTCTGACATCACTGATATCAATGAGCATGCTTTGGACACCAATTACGTGAACTGCTCTAATTTGGACACAATTGATATCCAGGGTGATGTTCATTATCTGTCAAGATATACATTAAAACCATCATGAAGCTTTCAAAATTTAGTTCAACATATAGATCAATATACAGATCAAACAGTTGACGGTTAAAATATATCATTTAAAACTTCGACTCTTAAGACTTACAGTCTTTGCAGCATGCTAAAACTAAGGGAATGTGCACCGTCTATATGGCATGCTAAGACAATCAGAATGTGCACTTTATCATTACCATGCTAAAACTAAGGGAATGTGCACCGTCTATATGGCATGCTAAGACAATCAGAATGTGCACTTTATCATTACCATGCTAAAACAACAGAGAATTTGCTGAGTTGTTAGGTGTTTATTTCTGTCCTATTTTATTAAAACCAAAAAAGAGACAAAATATAAAGTATGTATACCTTTATGTCTCTTCTATGTCTTGTCTATAAACATGTCATCACATAACTTAAGTAGACCTTGATCTTTTCCGTCTATGTTGTCTATAAACATGTCATCACATAACTTAAGTAGACCTTGATCTTTTCCGTCTATGTTGTCTATAAACATGTCATCACATAACTTAAGTAGACCTTGATCTTTTCCGTCTATGTTGTCTATAAACATGTCATCACATAACTTAAGTAGACCTTGATCTTTTCCGTCTATGTTGTCTATAAACATGTCATCACATAACTTAAGTAGACCTTGATCTTTTCCGTCTATGTTGTCTATAAACATGTCATCACATAACTTAAGTAGACCTTGATCTTTTCCGTCTATGTTGTCTATAAACATGTCATCACATAACTTAAGTAGACCTTGATCTTTTCCGTCTAGTTGTCTATAAACATGTCATCACATAACTTAAGTAGACCTTGATCTTTTCCGTCTATGTTGTCTATAAACATGTCATCACATAACTTAAGTAGACCTTGATCTTTTCCGTCTAGTTGTCTATAAATGTGTCGTATGTGCTTAATACATTTGTATTTGTTTTAAATTTAATCAAGAGATACTTGTTTTTCATCAAGATTATATAATCCATAAGTAAAGCCTAATTAAAAGTATTGACCCACCAGCTGTGTCCACGATGTAATGACTTGGCTCGAGGAGTCTCAAAACCATTGGCTTAACTTTTCAAATATTTAGTTTCAGTTAGAAATAAATGTATAACATCCCTGGGAATAGAATGTTGCATAATAGGGTCTAAGCAGTCATCGCCACACTCACACACAGAATGGACGACAGAAATGATCAGATGGTTAAAATGGGCTTGATTGATGCAGCTTACCAGAATATAACATGGACATCAATCTTATTTTAATTTTTCAATACATTAACCATTCCTAAATTGGAATAAAAATAAATCAAAATGAGATTTCCTGTGTCATTTGCATGTGTTTTACTGAGATTAAATCAACTGGTCGGTGGCAAAGTCATCATGGTCGTGGCAAGATTTTCATGGTCAGTGGCAAGAAACCTTGCAACTGACAATGAAAACCTAGCCAACGACCATGAAAACCTTGACACCGACCATGAAAACCTTGCCACTTACCAGAAAAACTTGTCACCGACCATAATAAACCTTGCCAACGACCATGACAACCTTGCCACCGACCATAACAACCTGGCCACCGACCATAACAACCTGGCTACCGACCATAACAACCTGGCCACCGACCATGTCAACTTTGCGACCGACCCTGAAAGCCTTGCCATCGACGATGTCAAACATGCCACTGATCATGAAAACCTTGCCACCATCATGTCCCCACCTTTGACATGGATTATCTTGTCCCCACGTTTGACATTGGTCCTCATGTCCCCACCAGGACATGGGTCATAATGTCCCCAACTTTGACATGGGTCATCAAATCCCAAACTTTGACATGGGTCATCTTGTCCCCACCTTTGACATGCATCATCTTGTCCCTACCTTTGACATGGATCATCTTGTCCCCACCTTTGGCATGGGTCATCTTGTCCCCACCTTTGACATGGATCATCTTGTCCCCACCTGAGGCATCTACGACTGCATCATTGAAATTCCTCAGCATATTAGTGATGCATGAAAAATCACCACTTCGATTTTCGTCATTCAAGTTTCTGAGATGTCCATGAAGAACTAGCGACTTGTTTAAGATGTCCATGAAGAACCAGCAACTTGTTTGAGATGTCCATGAAGAACTAGCGACTTGTTTGAGATGTCCATTAAGAACTAGCGACTTGTTTGAAATGTCCAGGAAGAACTAGCTACTTGTTTGAGATGTCCATGAAGAACTAGCGACTTGTTTGAGATGTCCATGAAGAACTAGCGATTTGTTTAAGATGTCCATGAAGAACCAGCGACTTGTTTGAGATGTCCATGAAGAACTAGCGACTTGTTTGAGATGTCCATTAAGAACTAGCGACTTGTTTGAGATGTCCATGAAGAACTAGCGACTTTTTTTAGATGTCCATGAAGAACTAGCGACTTGTTTGCGATGTCCATGAAGAACTAGCGACTTGTTTGAGATGTCCATGAAGAACTAGCGACTTGTTTGAGATGTCCATGAAGAACTAGCGACTTGTTTGAGATGTCCATGAAGGACTAGCGACTTGTTTCAGGGAAGAGTCACACATCACACACATTTGGAGATGAATCAAATAATATAATAGTTCTGATTCATTGATCTCAAAGAACCCAAGAAATGTTGAAATTTTCATTAAAGTTCCCAAAATAACACACATCACCAGGAAAGTACTTTCACTTTTTGTTTCTAAATCCTGGAGTGATAGTTGTACTGCTGCATCAAAACTGTACACCTGAACTGTACAATATCATTGTACACCTGAACTGTACAATATTGATTTATTTAGGCATTTTTCATATAGCGCTTACCTTAAAGCTCTAAGCGCTTTACAATTATTAAAAACATGTAAACTAACTAAAATAAAAATGAGACACTAGGATAGTAGCTACTATACTATAGAAACAATTAAAATGGCTATAAAACGAGGACACTTTGACACGTTGTGGCCTAAACTACAGGAACAGAAAATGAGGCAGGGCAAGGAGGGAGCATATATGAACTGTACAATACCTGAACTGTACAATAAAAATGTGCATCAAAACTGTACAAATGAACTGTACAATATAATTGTACACCTGACTGTACAATAAAAATGTGTATCAAAACTGTACAACTGAACCTGACAATATAATTGTACGCCTGAACTGTACAATAAAATATGTGCAACATAACTGTACAACGGAACTGTACATCACAAATGTAACTTCATAATTTAATAATTTCATTGCTTCACAAATTCATATCTTTATAACTTCATAGCTTCATAGCTTAATAACTTCAAATCTTCATAACGTCATAGCGTCATAATTTCATTACTTCATAACTTCATCGTTTCAGAAATTTATAACTTCATAAATTCATGTATCCACAACTTCATCATTTCCTCACTTTTTGGCGTCATTTCTTCATAAATTCATTTCTTAATAACTTCATAACTTTTTATGTTAATAATTTCATAATTTCATAACTTCATCGCTTCACAAAATATATTATTATAAAGTGGTATTCCCTGCTTTTACAAGATGGTGACCCTTGACCTCAGGTTTGAAAGATTGAAATTGCAATCACCGGACGCAGATGTGACCAGATTTAGGCTTCTTTTTAGGGCCCCAAACTTTCTCCCGGCATTCAAGAAGAAAACGTTCAACTGAATACTGAACATGAGCGTCCAGGTGTTGACTGTTGTCTGTTGTCTATTCGGTCAGTATTTATATGGTTCATTTAATGAACTAATAGGTGTTGACTGTTGTCTGCTGTCTATTTGGTCAGTATTTATATGGTTCATTCAATGAACGTCCAGGTGTTGACTGGTAATTACTGTCTATTTGGTCAGTATTAATATGGTTTATTCAATGAACTACCAGGTGTCGACTGTTGTCTACTATCTATTTGGTCAGTATTTATATGGTTTATTCAATGAACTACCAAGTGTTGGCAATCGTCTGCTGTCTGTTTGGTAAGTATATATTATATATGATTTATTTAATGAAAGATGTTTGCCCTTACATTAAAAACTGAACACTGAAGGCAAGTCAACTTCAAATCAAACCAGTTATCAATTTGTGTACAATTGCACAGCTGGATGTCTGGCAAATAAAGCAGGGACATCAACTGCCAACGTGACAGGACAAACACCTCCACCATACAGAATTCTCGGTGGAACTATGGTCACAGAATTTAAATACCCCTTCCAGGCGTCACTTCAGTACTACATGAAGAGAGACTGGTACCATTTCTGTGGTGCTGTGCTCATTGCTTCTAATAAGGTACTCTATTTCATTAGGTTATACATTCAAGTAATTAACGCTATATTATTCACAACAACATACATCAATTTTGATACAACAATACACCATCTAAGTTATTTGGATGCAACAATACACCATCTAAGCTATCGGGTTACAACTGCAAACCATTTAATAGGAAACCAAACTGTTAGGGATACAATAGGAAACTATGTTTTACGGTTACAACAATAGGAACCCAAGCTGTTAGGGATACAACAATAGGAACCCAAGCTGTTAGGGATACAACAATAGGAACCCAAGCTGTTAGGGATACAACTATAGGACACATAAGCTGGAAAGTGTTATATTTTCAAAATAACACTATTTTTACAAAATTGCGCATAAAGTGGGCAAAAAACCAGCTTGAACTAACATACCGCATAATTTATTGGGAGTTTATTACTTTGCTGTTCAATTAATAGCTTCATCATGGAATACATATACGTTTTATTACATGTTAGAAATACATAAACTTTTTATCACATGTAAGAAATACAATATAAATTGTATCACATGCCAGCAATGCGCATCCATTATATCACATATTAGATATACATATACATTGTATCACGTTACAAATTTTTAATACATGTATTATTTTATTAATTTATACTTATTTAATTGTTTTACTGATGAAGGCATGTGTGGAAATGTTTACTTGTGTACTATGTAAAATTATTTTTTAAAGCGAAACATATTTGATATATTGACACAAATTGTTCCGGTCTATTTTAAAGCTTCTTCTTCTATATATTAAGGGCCCACGATCAATTTATTGATCATTTTGGCTACTATCCATATAGATGGGATTTGCAATGTTTCTGTGCCTGGTGTTGATGAGGACATTTCACTGATTGAAAGGGCCACTTTGTGAGGGAATCATGCACTGGAGGGGGGGGGTGTTGAAAGACTTGAGGCAATAGACGCAAATGTGTCTAGTGTTGTCACCTCAACTGTTTCTATGAAAGCTTGTTCCAGTCCATGATTGTCTTGGGCAGGAGTGAGCAGTTCCTATACTGGCTTCTTGCTGGTATGAGCCTGAATTGCCTGTCATGGCCTCGTCGCTGTCTATGGGGAGAGGGACGAGTTTCTGTTTAATACTGGAACTGTGGACCAGCCGATTATTTGTCTTATACAATAAGGAGAGCTTGGATAGTCGTCGTCGTTCCTCCAATGGTGACCAGCCTAGTGTTTCCAGCATGCTGCCAACACTAGAGGTATTCCTGTAGCGGTTCAGGACAAGTCGAACTCTTACTGGTGCATATATCTAATCGAACTCTTACAGGTGTATATATCTAATCGATCTCTTACAGGTGTGTATATCTAATCGACCACTCCTAATTAACACCTGAATTAATTAATTTTTGAAATATTAAGTTTATTTATAACTTGTTACATTGTTGGTTACTGAGTCTCAATGTCTTTATATCTTGTTACATTTCATTATTGTAGCTCACTGTCTTTATAACGTGTTACATTTGGTTACTGTGTCTCACTGTCTTTATAACTTGTTACATTTGGTCACTTTTTCTCACTGTCTTTATAACGTGTTACATTTGGTTACTGCTGCTCACTGTCTTTATAACTTGTTACATTTGGTTACTGTGTCTCACTGTCTTTATAACGTGTTACATTTGGTTACTGCTGCTCACTGTCTTTATAACTTGCTACATTTAGTGCCTTTTTCACACTGTCTTTATAACTTGTTGCAGTTGGTTACTGTGTCTCACTGTCTTTATAACTTGTTACAGTTGGTTACTGCTGCTCACTGTCTTTATAACATGTTACAGTTGGTTACTGCTGCTCACTGTCTTTATAACTTGTTACAGTTGGTTACTGCTGCTCACTGTCTGTATAAGAACTTTACCACCACACGAATCAAGATAGGAGCCCTGGATCTACTGATCGATGGACCCAAAAACAAGTACAGCCAGGTTCGGACAGTAAATAAGAGTATCATTCATCCTAGATACAAGCAACCTGGGGAAAGACATGACATTGGTGTGATATATCTGCAGACACCTGTTGAATCCAACGAAAATGTTAAGGTATGTTACTTTTAATATATTGATATGTTCTAACTTACAACGTCAACTTCAATGTATTATACGTTTATATGTGTTAGTTACATACAATACCTATATAAAGGTGTTTCATTGCCCAAGAATATGATCTTGATTCTGATAAAGTTGACTGTGGTGATATTTATAAATCATTGTTATACAAGGCATTTATAATAATTCTTTGTTTCTATGTTATTTTTTAAGATTTTTCTTTCAAAATTTTTTAAAATCCAATTTGAACAATGAAATGTGACGCTTTCTAGGTGTATTAAAATGGAAATGTTTCACTTTCTAGTTGTATTCAAATGAAAAATGTTTACTTTCTATTTGTATTAAAATGGAAATGTTTCACTTTCTAGTTGTATTCAAATGAAAATTTTTCACTTTCTATTTGTCTTAAAATGAAAATATTTCACTTTCTAACTGTATAAAAATGGAAATGTTTCACTTTCTAGTTGTATTAAAATGGAAATTTTTCACTTTCTAGTTGTATTCAAATTGAAATTTTTCACTTTTTAGTTGTATTCAAATGAAAATATTTCACTTTCTAGTTGTATTAAAATGGAAATGTTTCACTTTCTAGTTGTATTAAAATGGAAATGTTTCACTTTTCTAGTTGTATTCAAATGAAAAATGTTCACTTTCTATTTGTATTAAAATGAAAATGTTTCACTTTCTAGTTGTATTAAAATGGAAATGTTTCACTTTCTAGTTGTATTAAAATGGAAATGTTTCACTTTCTAGTTGTAAATTTTACCTTTACAAAGTGAAAGATCAACATAATTTTACGAAATGTTTCACTTTCTAGTTGTATTAAAATGGAAATGTTTCACTTTCTAGTTGTATTAAAATGGAAATGTTTCACTTTCTAGTTGTATTAAAATGGAAATGTTTCACTTTCTAGTTGTATTAAAATGGAAATGTTTCACTTTCTAGTTGTATTAAAATGGAAATGTTTCACTTTCTAGTTGTGTTCAAATGGAAATGTTTCACTTTCTAATTGTATTCAAATGAAAATATTTCACTTTCTAGTTGTATTAAAATGGAAATGTTTCACTGTCTAGTTGTATTAAAACCGAAATGTTTCACATTCTAAATGTATTAAAATGGAAATATTTCACTTTCTAGTTGTATTAAAATGGAAATGTTTCACTTTCTAGTTGTATTAAAATGGAAATGTTTCGCATTCTAGTTGTATTAAAATAGAAATGTTTCACTTTCTAGTTGTATTAAAATGGAAATGTTTCACTTTCTAGTTGTATTAAAATGGAAATGTTTCACTTTCTAGTTGTATTAAAATGGAAATGTTTCACTTTCTAGTTGTATTAAAATGGAAATGTTTCACTTTCTAGTTGTATTAAAATGGAAATGTTTCACTTTCTAGTTGTATTAAAATGGAAATGTTTCACTTTCTAGTTGTATTAAAATGGAAATGTTTCACTTTCTAGTTGTATTAAAATGGAAATGTTTCACTTTCTAGTTGTATTAAAATGGAAATGTTTCACTTTCTAGTTGTATTAAAATGGAAATGTTTCACTTTCTAGTTGTATTAAAATGGAAATGTTTCACTTTCTAGTTGTATTAAAATGGAAATGTTTCACTTTCTAGTTGTATTAAAATGGAAATGTTTCACTTTCTAGTTGTATTAAAATGGAAATGTTTCACTTTCTAGTTGTATTAAAATGGAAATGTTTCACTTTCTAGTTGTATTAAAATGGAAATGTTTCACTTTCTAGTTGTATTAAAATGGAAATGTTTCACTGTCTAGTTGTATTAAAACCGAAATGTTTCACATTCTAAATGTATTAAAATGGAAATATTTCACTTTCTAGTTGTATTAAAATGGAAATGTTTCACTGTCTAGTTGTATTAAAACCGAAATGTTTCACATTCTAGTTGTATTAAAATGGAAATATTTCACTTTCTAGTTGTATTAAAATGGAAATGTTTCACTTTCTAGTTGTATTGAAATGGAAATGTTTCGCATTCTAGTTGTATTAAAATAGAAATGTTTCACTTTCTAGTTGTATTAAAATGGAAATGTTTCACTTTCTAGTTGTATTAAAATGGAAATGTTTCACTTTCTAGTTGTATTAAAATGGAAATTTTTCACTTTCTAGTTGTATTCAAATGAAAATGTTTCACTTTCTAGTTGTATTCAAATGGAAATGTTTCACTTTCTAGTTGTATTAAAATGGAAATGTTTCACTTTCTAGTTGTATTAAAATGGAAATGTTTCACTTTCTAGTTGTATTCAAATGAAAATGTTTCACTTTCTAGTTGTATTCAAATGGAAATGTTTCACTTTCTAGTTGTATTCAAATGAAAATGTTTCACTTTCTAGTTGTATTCAAATGAAAATGTTTCACTTTCTAGTTGTATTCAAATGGAAATGTTTCACTTTCTAGTTGTATTAAAATGGAAATGTTTCACTTTCTAGTTGTATTAAAATGGAAATGTTTCACTTTCTAGTTGTATTCAAATGAAAATGTTTCACTTTCTAGTTGTATTCAAATGGAAATGTTTCACTTTCTAGTTGTATTCAAATGAAAATGTTTCACTTTCTAGTTGTATTCAAATGAAAATGTTTCACTTTCTAGTTGTATTCAAATGGAAATGTTTCACTTTCTAGTTGTATTAAAATGGAAATGTTTCACTTTCTAGTTGTATTAAAATGGAAATGTTTCACTTTCTAGTTGTATTAAAATGGAAATGTTTCACATTCTAGTTGTATTAAAATGGAAATGTTTCACATTCTAGTTTTACTAAACAAATGGAAAAGTAGGCTCTTCATTTCTTATGTAAATATCAGAAGAGAAAATCTGCCAAATTTGAACAGAAACTATATTTTACCTTCATTTATGGTATGGGAAAAAAGCATTCATTGCAAATAATTTAAAGAAAAAATATAATAATTTGGTTCTCCCCCAAGGGAGGGGAGAGGGGACTCGCAAATATTTTTTTTTCGAGGGAGGAAGGGGGGCGGCTTTGCGAGTTGCCAAAATGGCAGCTAAGGGGTAGTAGATGGGACATACTTCTCGGGGCGCCAGACTTTCAGCAGGCAAAAAATGGGCTTTGGTGGAATTAATTAATTGAAAATAACTGGTTTAAGAGTTGGAGGGTGCGTTCAAATGAATCTTTTCTTCTGACGCCAAACACTGCAGATACGCCCCTGCAGTGGCGTCGAAATAGGGCGGGTGGAGTGGTCCGTCCAGGTGTCCCTGTTTCTCTATATGCTGGTGCGGCATTTTAGGACAACTGCAGAGTTTTAATTGTGAAATGGAGGACGGCCAAAATATTTGGCAGCTCATGGCAGCCTTAATAGTAGCTACGCCACTAGGCAGTGTATCTAGCAGCTCATGGCAGCCATAATAGTAGCTACGCCACTAGGCAGTGTATTTATCAGTGTATTTATATGATAATTTTCATCGACACCTGGGGAGAAATTGATGGCGCCCATGATTCTTGATCATTGTAGGGGTTTTTGGGAGGTTGCTCCCCAGATAATTTTTGATTATTTGAAATCAAGAGGTGTATTTTTCATTATACTTGAATTCGATGTTTCTATTACACCTTTCAAACACGGAAAAGCATTTTAAAGATGTTTGGGAGGCATTATTTAGCCCAGTGCCCTATATAAACTGAATTCACTCCGTTTGTGGCATGCCCCCGGGTAATCATTAGGGATAGGCTTATACTCAACCCCACAGTGCACAAAATGCAGTGCACAAAATGCAGTGCACAAAATGCAAGGGTGCATTCTTTTGGCACATGCTTGAATTCATTGTTTCTTTCAGACAATTTTGACGTGGATTTCAAACGTTCCTTTGGGAAATGGCAAAATTAGCCAAAATAATGACCCAAAACATCTTAAATTTCGCAGTAGAGCGACGTAAACTATATTCAATCTAGTTATGTCACCCTTGAGGGTACAATTTTGCTCTAGACTATTCTCGCCCCTTAAATCATTATAGTCCCCAGAAAATGTTTGATAAATTCAAAATACATAAATATATTTTTCACATATCTGAATTTCGTTTTGCAACATGCCACACTTAATTGGAGAGCAACGAAAGATATCCTAGTTAAAAATATATAGGTGCCGCTTAACCTTAGAACCATCGTGTGCGCCCAGCAACACCTACGACTGAAGGGTGCCTCGGATCATTTAGGGGCTTAAAGATGTGATGAGGATATTTTCTTAATTATCATCTTTCAATGCAGGGTTGTCAAACGGAAAAAGCATGACCTGCTTGTGTTATGCAAAAACAAAAAAAAAATTAAATTATTTATTTAACTAAAAATAATAATGTGGCTTTTATTTTTGTATTTACATGATTTTTAGGGATAGCAACTTATTTATAAAAAAAAGAATTTTCAAAAAACCAAACTTCATTTAAAAAGAGTTCCATCACTAAAAAGCACAGCAAACATTATTTGATATAATGAAAGCAAATGGGAAAAAACTTACTTACAATTCTAATGCTCAGACGAACTTTTCTAAATGTGTCCTAATTTTACGAGAAACAAAAAGAAAAATAACAGGTTTATTAGAAAGTTCTATACATTGTTATGGCTTTTGAAAACTGGTCCATGTTATAAATGTACAAGAGCGTCATTACTATTTTAAGAAGACATGAGTTGTGTACAGAGGATATTATATTTTATTAATGTGTGATTTTAACTAAGGGAAATTCCTATGCAACTAAAGTATAAATTTTACAATATTCGGTACATTAAAATTTGTATTTAACATTTCCAACTACTATACCTTTCTTAAATAGCCTTTGGCCATACTTTGAAACATTTTTATCTAAATCCACAGAATCAATTTTAAATTGCCCAATTAGGAATAAGAATTATTTTTAAAAAAAAAAACACATACCAAAAAAATGGAATTGGTCTGATAATCGAATTGCTAGTTTACACAAAAAAAAATGTTAGCTTTCTACTGAATTGTCCTATAAATAAAATTAATGATATTAAAAAATGATATCAGTGCCAATGGAAGAGGGACTTTGTTTGTTATTCTGACATTAAAAAGAGAAAAGCTGTTGGAAAGTTAATAATGATAAATATAGGCTAACGGCTAAGTATTTTTTTTTAGTCTGTTATTCAGGAAACTTTGAAACAAAGATAGTACATTTAAATTTATTAAAAAACACTTTTGATTTAATAGTGATTTATGAAACGTGAACTATTTCTTTGGGCCATTTAAATTCTAAGTTAGCAACAAAAAGCATGATACCTAATTGTTTAGTCATGCTTTTACGATGAACTATCATTTGAAAACAGATTGCACATTTTTAAAATTTGACTATCATTAAAATTGGAGACCTTATAGGTATGTAAATATATTTTAAAATAATGTCATTAAATTGTTTAAACTTGTGGAGTTGCAAAAAATAAATAAATAAAAATAGCGATACATGCAAAGAACAGGAAGTAAGACTGGGGCGGTCAGTGTGATTTTTATAACCGAATATTCTCTCTTGATTAGCCTTAAAAATACGGATAATCAAATATATCGAGCCTAGCCATATTTTATATATTCCACTAATTGTAATCGGTTAATGACACCAGCTAATATTCTTTTAAAGATGACAATTTAGTAATTTGTATAAAATAAACTTTATTTAATTATTTTATTATTGTACATATTTTTGCTTCGGGGGGGGGGGGACTTGTCTTTCCTCGGGGGGCTAATGCCCCCCCTCCCCCCCCCCCTGTTTGTTACATGTTGAGATTGAATGAAACTTGTCAAAAATCTTGAAGTGTTTTTAGGTTTGATTGATTTAAATCTAGAACTAAGTTTCTAAGCTATTTATTTGGTAATAGCGTACTGTCATTATCCTTTAAACATATTCTGCATTCAAGACTAAACTCATATTTGTATTGGTAAGGAAGACATGTGATGACAAAAATTTAAGAAATGTGTAACAGAAAAAGTAACAGAAACATTGCAATGAAATATTTCACAGTAATGTATCAGAGAAATCTATCACAATGTTCTATAATTCCGTTTTTAGTTACAGTTATCAGATATGGCTAAAGGAATAATCTATGCCCCACTGTCCTATAATTTATAACTTGATCTCTCCAGATAGCCGAGATAGCTCCCAAAGGATTGAGCTTTGAAGGAGACACATGCGCCATCGCGGGCTGGGGAATCAGTGAGGAAAGTCCACAAGGTTCTTCCTTTCTCCGAGAGGCTTTTCTCAAGGCAATCAGCACACAAAGATGTAGCACGTTCGATTGGGATAACCCTATCACCAATAAGGAGATTTGTGTTTTCGATGAGAGCAACGGTGAGAAAAAATTAGGTTTCTTGTTGACATTGGAATGCTAAGAATGTTAAGAACTAATTTCTAATCATTTGAAAATGTGTAAATGAAGTGGCTTAGCTATGGTTGTTGAATGAAGTGGCTTAGCTATGGTTGTTGTCCCCCGGTGAGGTAAACTCATGGTATCACCCCCCCCCCTTTTCTTTCTGAATTTAACAATTGATCTATTTAACTTTTTATGTTTAAAATAAGTCCACAGTTTAAAAATGACAAGAAAAAAAATAATAGAAAATGAGGAGGTAAATGTATTTAGGATCTGTAAGAATATTTTCACATTAAATTTACTTTCTTAAAAATGTCCATTCTTGGTCATCAAATCTGAAAACCTGTCAATCACATTATCAAAATCAATATTCTTCACCGTATCACTTTCAATTGATAGCAAGGCCATATCAGAAAGTCTTGACTGTTCCAATGTTGATTTTTAATGGTTTTTTATAAGTCTTAGTTTTGAAAAAGATTCCCTCACATGAAGCCACAGACACAACGATCATAAGAAAAATTTGAAGGCTTAGCAAAAGTATTTGAAGATATTCTAGGAAGTCCCATCCAGCGATGAATTTCAATATATTAAATACTGATCAGTCCATGAATTTGCGAAATTTGGATATCAGCTGCCTTTGGGTGTCTTCTAAGCCTTGGTATTTCTTTTAAAAGTTAATCTTCAGATAACTCATTATAGAAAAGGTGATCTGAAGTTCAAAATGAAAGCGACCAATACACTCCAGCATCTACCTATTGTTTTTCTTATCGCAGAGAGAGAGAGTCCAACATCTATTAATTGTTCTCATGTCATCCTCTTGTTCAACCTGAATCTTTTCTCTACCGAAATGCCACATTGGTCTGGTTTTAAGAGTGCCTTTTCAATAGCACGTTCCACCATGTGACAGTGCTTCTCTTACAGAAACAATCTTAGGGGTTCTAGGCTGGTCAACACTTTGTCCAGAGTAAAGCCTTTAGTCTTCAGAGACTACCGTTTAAGATTAACTTCCTCAAGTAGATCAACCCAAAGGCAACGATAGCAGATAAACATAAAATCACAGCAGAATGGAAAAGATCTTGTGCTCAAGAATCGTGCTAAAATGTTAAGGGGCTGTGCTAGTGACGAATCGGGGAAATATTAATTTTTGAGTATTTCTGTGTTTCGATATATTTTGTTTCAAAAAATCATATACTTGACAAATTAAATACATTTCAATTAATCATTAAAAGATATTAGAACTTTTACCGATTCGATTAATATATTTAGTATTTCCCGACCGCATCTTATTTGATATCAATGGAGTGCCTTATTTCTCAGAATTTAGATAAATATAGCTTCATGTCACAAACGTTACCGAACACTTCAATCGGCGTTGAAAATTTGTCAAATTTGTGTTTTTCTGACCTAATTATAAGGTCACCTTATTTCTGACGCATCAACCTTTGAACTATTAATAAAGTTCGCATTTGGATTGGTTACATGTGTGAACTTTTAGCATGCGATTGGTCATACTTTTATGAAATTCGGTTAGACCGACCTTCGTGTGCTCTGCAAAAATGCATTTCGTTCAATTTGTTGTCACTTCTAAGATGGTGCCTCCCGGTGCAGGCCACGACCCCGCGCCCCCTAGCTACGCCACTGTGTAGGTGTATTTGACATTCTCATTAGCTACTAACATTCTGTTTCACATTCTCATTAGCTACAAACATTCTTCTTTCTTATCATTAGTTCCGCCCCTTTATTTCAAATTTTTTATTATTTTTAGCGGATCCAGATTACCGTGCGAGATCCTGCCAAGGCGACAGTGGGGGAGCCTTAATGTGTGGCGTGGGATATCGCTATTTAACTGGTGTCACTTCAGCCGGTGGTATCGGTTGTACAGGTAAGCGACTCATTTTGTTGTACAGGTAAGCGACTCATTTTGTTGTACAGGTAAGCGACTCATTTTGTTGTACAGGTAAGCGACTCATTTTGTTGTACAGGTAAGCGACTCATTTTATTGTACAGGTAAGCGACTCATTTTGTTGTACAGGTAAGCGACTCATTTTGTTGTTCAGGTAAGCGACTCATTTTGTTGTACAGGTAAGCGATTCATTTTGTTGTAAGGGTAAGCGACTCATTTTGCTGTACAGGTAAGCGACTCATTTTGTTGTACAGGTAAGCTATTCATTTTGTTGTACGGGTAAGCGATTCATTTTGTTGTACGGGTAAGCGATTCATTTTGTTGTACAGGTAAGCATCTCAAATTTTTTACATGTAAGCGACTTAATGGCGAGTACGGGAATGTGACTGATTTTCTTGTACATGTAAGTTAAAACATTAGTTGCATACATCTGTCATTGATATATCATTTTGTGTATGCATCTGTCATTGATATATCATTACTTGTATACATCTGTCTTTTATAAAACATTAGTTGTATACATATGTCACTGATATTTCATTAGTTATTTGGAACATGAAGATATTGATATATCATTAGCATATTTCTTTTTTTTTATTCCCCTTTAATTTTTTAACTTTCAATACACTCCCAGGGACCAAGCCAAGTATCTACACGCGCGTGTCAGAATACAGAGAGTGGATTAATTCCGTCTAACACTGAACATTAACACTGTGACCTTGACTGGCGTCACAAGGCAGGCGTCACATCATCACTGTGAGCATGACTGGTGTCACCAGACAGATGGTCACAAATGTCTTGTACTTGAGGTATAGATGTGAATAAAATTTTACTCTTGTTATTTTGACTTCAGTATAAGTGTTGCAGTGTTCGTTTTTAAATGTAGATAGGGAGAGATAGGTAGAGAGAGAGAGAGAGACAAGTAGATACATAGAGAGATAGGTAGAGAGAGAGAGAGACAAGTAGATACATAGAGAGATAGGTAGAGAGAGAGAGAGAGAGACAAGGAGATACATAGAGAGATAGGTAGAGAGCTAGAAAGAGATAAATAGAGAGAGAGAGAGGATAGATAGAGAGAAATAAAGAGAGGAAGAGAGAGAGGGAGAGAACTAAGGAGAGGGACATTTAGAGAGAGATAGAGAGATAGAAAGAAAAAGAGGGTGAGATTGGGAGTAATAGAATGAGAGATTGAGGGAGATAGAGAAAGAAATAGATGAAGAGATAACGACAGAAAGAGAGTGATAGGGCCGTAGAGAGATAGAGAGAGAGAGAGACAGAGATACATAGAGAACAAGAGAAAGCGATAGAATAAAAAAGAGGTAGGGATAAAAAAATATAAATTGAGAACTAGAGAGAGACAGATAGGGAGAGATGACCAAATAGGAAGTGTTATAATTGGAATAAACAGTTAAGGAGTAAATGAGACTTCCATCAAATTTGATGCTGAACAAAGATGGTGAAAACTTGGATTTCGAATCTTATGTTTGTATGTTTGTTAGGATCTCAAACATGTCAATCCATTGCGTTTGATTTCGATTGTCAGTCCAATTCATACATATATACAAACATACTAAAAAACTATCAGAAAGAAACCATACATACATACAGACCTAAATACATATTTACAAACATACTTACTTATATACATACATACATACATACATACATACATACATACATACATACATACATACATACATACATACATACATACATACATACATACATACATGCATACATGCATACATACATACATACATACATACATACATACATACATACATACATACATACATACATCCATACATACATACATACATACATACATACATACATACATACATACATACATACATACATACATACATACATACATACATACATACATACAT